ATTCCATCCGCATCTGTAGTAACTTGGGGGAAAACTGTTGTAGGACAGTTTTAAGCTTTACATCCGCTCGTCTTCAAAATCAATTTTAAAGATATTGTTCAAAATATATTTGAGACGTGTTTTATACTTTTCGTAAAATCTCCCCTCTTGAGGATGAAACTTAGAAGGTTAGAAAAACTTATTTTCAAAGCAGTACATAAAAACTAAATGAATAATGGTTTCAGCGATTCCACCCGCAACTGTGGAAATTTAGTGGAAAACTGTTGCATGCAAATATTTGTTAACCATTGGATCGGCCTCGAACTCATTTTCTGAAAACTTTGTTAAAATATGTGTTGAAATTTATTTGTCACGCTTTTCGTGCTATTCACCGCACTTGAATGGAAAATACGGTTTCATGAACAAAAGTTTAATTTTCGGCATCAATATTATCCCCATAATACTAACATGGTTGCAAATTGTTGATTTCAACATTAGATTCTTTATTCGATGGACCTTACACATATTTTCCAAAAAAATGGAGTTCAATAATGGGGTTGGCAGAATTAAATTTTCCAGCGGAAACTGATCGAACAAGTAATATCTTACAATTTAAGCATTCAACTTTCCACGCTCGAGGTCGGATAATACCCTCTATATTTAGATATGTAGTTTTGACACAATATAAACAAAATTTCACATAGCTGGGGTACACATAGAAGTTTGCTCATGTAACAAATGTTTAATTTACATGCATATTATGATGAGATTAACCGGCTCAGGATACCCTATCAATGGTTGTGCTTCTGCATCCTTTAGTGTTGAAATACTTGAGCGTATTATCCGACTGGTATAGCGTAAGAATTTGAATTGTTCAGGCTCTGGTTTAAACTTATTCCAATTTAAACGAGTTATATTTTCAGTTAAGCCTGTATGTAATTTTATTTTATTTTATATCAAATTTTATTTTATCTAAGATACATGAGCTCCCATAGTTTGAAATCGGTGAGTTCATATAGACAGACAGATAACGTGCCCCGGTCGACTCAGTTCTTGATGCTGGACAAGAATATATATTCCCTGCTCCACATAATTTGAAGCATGCTATAATAAGTCTTAAATTTAACATATCCATATATTTCCTAAACTGTATTAACAGGCATTATAAATTTTATTTTTTAATCCTGAAATTGGTTGAAACTTGTTTTTGAGCCAACTATGGATATTGGAATTATAAATGTCTACCCAAGAACTAAGCCTAGCTTTTTAGACACACTTAGCTCAACACTTCATTCATCTGCATGTTTGACTCTCAATATGCAAACTAACAGCATGTAAATGCCACAAATCGCTTGATACACTCCGAATCCCAAGACTTCGAATGCATTTGCTACATCAAAACGCCATAATTACAACTTCAAACTGCCTAAAACACTCAAGAGAGCTACGTCTACATCTAAAAGATTCTCATAATTACACATAAGATGAAATAAACATACAAATTTGAATAAAATCGATATAACCACAGACATGGGTCTGAGAGCGGAGTGGAGTTGAAGGTGGATGAGTGCTGCTGCCGCTGCTGCTGAAGCTGAAGCTGATGCTGATGTTGCCGGCGTACTTTGCCATTAAGAATCGAACCACAAATCCACTTAAAATCACTACAAAAACCAATAAAGATTTCTTTCATCTTTACCGAAGGAGCGCGCGAGATGGCAACAGCGTGTGAAAGCGAGAGCGCACGATTCACATCCACATTGATCGTGCGACAAGAGAGCGAGACAATCATGAGACAATCAACAGACATTGTAATCGAATGCAGTGCACTAGAGCGCTTAGAGGCTTAGCATTTGAAGAAAGTCGCGGACGGGGTACATATGGAATACTTGGGATAGCATTGGCGGTGACGCCACTTTGAAATTTCGGGTGACATTTTCCCTAATATCGGGTAGGGCAGCTGAAAGGGTATTCAGGATTAGTGGAGCCAAGGTAATTATCATTTGTCTGGCTGTTATCAGTAAAAATAATATGCATATCAATGAGTTTTCCAACTCACTCTATTTGCCTTGTTTCTTTACTTTCATTCACATTTCCATTGCGGGCAGTTTTCCAAAAGCGAATCGCTCCATTTTCGTTTCCAGGAAAGCGCGTGCCATGCCTTATGCGCATATCGTGGTCTTTCCTTCAGCGTATGCGCCTGATAAACGTCATAAAACTTAATCACCGCAACAGTTCCAGCCTCATATGGTGGCTGGGCATCGTCAACAAGATCGTGTGGATGATCACATTAACGGCCAGGCGCATGATATATAAAGCTGTTCACAAATTAAGGTCCATTAGCGCAGCAGGATGTGTCAGCGTCGATTGAAATATGCGCTTGTCTGGCTTGCGGTTTTTTGTTTTGACATCTTTCGGACCTTCTGCTTGGCCAGGGACTCGCCCTCTCTCTCTCTCTCCGATTTGACTTGCCTCACTTTTCACTCACTCTGCTCGCTTTTTGCATTTTAATGAAAAGAATTTGTTCACCATCCAGCCGGGGCGGAAGATTGCCAACAGACAACGAACCTTTTTGATGGGTGAATTATGTGATTTTCGATGGCCAGAAACTAAGGCAAATCGTTTGATTAATGATCCACACCATGGGTTTCGGGAATGCTGTGAGTGGATTTGGCCCACTTGTGGCTATCTGTTAGATATATGAGCGTCAGTGAATAAGTGGTTTATCCAACACGAACAAACTCGAAATAAAAAATAAAACATTTGTTACAATTAAAAGCTATGCCCGATTCGATGAAAAAAAACTTATTGTTAAATGTAACTTGAACATCTTTTGTATAAGCTGAACGCGGTCTTAACTTTTTGTGGAAGCAAATGACATTTTAATGATTTTAAATATGAAATGACGCCGAAATCATAGGTAGCTTTTATGTATCTCCATTGACTACTATCACTCCATTTGTATGTGCTTTGCGATACCAATCCCCAATTTCAAATAATTGCATTCAGCATGTCAAGGAATAATAAGTAATGTATGAAATATAATAATAAATAATGTATTATGCATAGTAATGCATCAGTAATCAGAAATATATTCAGATTGCCTTCAAATATTTGCTTAATATTTCGAAATAGAGATGGATGCGGGAGGCCCGTCCGACATTAGCAGGAAACATGCCCTTAAAAAAAACCGAGCCGTTTGTACTATTATATAAAAGCGTGGCCCTGTTCTAAGTTATTTCCTTTTGTGGCTTTTTGCAAAGAACTCCTTAGTTTTTTTCGTCCAGTTTTGATTATGTTTTGACTGATATGAGATATGCATTCAAATATATATTTATTTCGTTTGCTTTAACTATTTGTTTCAATAGTTAGAGATTGGGGTGATATTACCTGTGATATTTATTATATTTTCGTAGCTATTTATCAGGCTACTTCACGACCTTACGATCTTAATAGTGCCTATATTTTTCATGCTTTTGGGGATAGGCCTGGCCATCGCACGAAACCCGCACGAAAAAAGTCCCGATCCCGTCGTTCCTTCATGCGCTCACCTCATCATATCGGTATTAAGTATTTAATCATGATACAGTTTTATACTGCTAGACTAGACTGCTTAAAGGCATTCGTATTTTTTTTAATGAGCCGCACGCAATTTATTTACATTCTCTCCAAATATTACACATAGCTCCTTCTTCTTGTTCCACCTTTTAAATGGACATATATATCATTTTTAGTGACATGTTTCTGAAAATTAGCAAGAAGTACTTCTCCTCATTTACCCCTTACTCTCCTGATATCCCTTACTACTTTGCAATAAACGACATCACAATAAATAGACCCTCATTAAAGGCAACACAAACACACGGGCGTCAATTAATTAAATCTTTCTCTGATCTTTCTCGCGATCCTTCGATCTTTGTCATGGTCACTTTCCTATAAGGACAGTGTTTGGGCACTTGCACACGCCCAGATACATACGGCTACAGGGAAACGAGCTGGTGACACTACAGACGGACGGTGAGCGCAGCTAAGCCCGGTCGGGTATCGATCTCGGCAGGCGGATTACTTTCACGCAGACTCAAGCACTCGAGTGCCTACTGTTCTAGGAGCAAGTAGCTCGGTCTGGAACCTGTTTCGGTTTCAAGTGCGGCGCATTATTTTCGAAGACTTACATGAAATTGACTAATTTCGTGTGTTTCGATCGCAGTCGCAGGTTCAGCGCCGTGGCAGCGCAGTCGGCGTCGCAGTAGCTGCATTTGAAATGCACCTACAAATTTTTACCTGTCACTCAGCCAACGGCATCTCCATCTCGCTCTGGAGTCTTGTGCGTCGTCTCCATCTCGCTTGCACGCGGAGTCTTGTGTGAAGGCGACGCCTGCAAGTGACACGCGGAGGCAACGAGTGGCCGGCGGGACGGAGGAACGGACTGCGTTGCCTGCCCATTGATGAAATTGACTTTTTATGTTGCTTGCCGTTGACTTCTCTTCGATTTTGCGTGGCGCTGCTTTCGGTCGCTGCAGAAGTTGACGTCGCTGTCGCCGTCGCAGTCACCGTCGGCAGCGCCGAACTGAAACTGGATTTTTGGGATTAAGTTTTTGTTTACTTTGAGGCGGTTTTTTAGTTTGTTTGTACGCCTCAAGGAAGTCGGTTCGTTGTGCCCGCGATCCACAGCAACAATAATAACAACAAAGACAATAACAACAAAAGCCATAATAACTCAAATCTGTTAAGTGCTCGTAACTGGATTAATTCGAATATTTATTGCTTTATTAGCCGTATTAATCAAAAGGCTTACAACAAAGTCCATTAAATGCTCAACCCAATCGATCGAGCAATATTAATAATAACAACAAATGTAGCCAAATTTGAACAGTTTCAAGTCAGTTGCAATTAATATCGTATTTTTGCATTTCTGTGATATATTTGTGTTGTGACAATTTGAACTTCAATTCCGCGTTACGATAAATCAATCCTTAAACAAGCTGCCTAACAGAAACCAGTACAAAAAGTCAAATCAATAAATAATGGGCATTTTGCTAAGTGATGGCGATGTAAGTTGAGCTTTTATCATTAAGCATTTGCATAATCCGATACACGTTTTATTTCCCAACAATAAATCATAATTTGTTTAAATTTGTATTTCAACTCCTCGATTTAGTCGTGACTCTTCAAAATAACTGAATGTACAAAACTATTAGGTTTTGCAAATTGCTCAAAAAGTGAGACAGTATCTATCCACTTATTCATATTACAAGTATTATAAAACGCATTTAAAGTTTCTTCCAGAGAAAGACTTATGAAAATGAGTTTATCATTAATTCTTCAAATTCGTCCTTATCACCTATATGTTTATTTGCCATCTTTTTCCCAACGTCCAAGTCCAGTAAGCTTGTAATTACAGATCCCAGGACCAAACATTCCCATATTGTTTACCTAGAAAATCATTTTAAATTTAAATTTACCAAAAAATACAGTTTATAAAGTATAATTCTTCTTGAGGTTTTTCTATTTCTTATAGCTCTTTTTTAGCCTTAGCCATTTTATAAGATGCATAAGCAGTCGTTCGTTCTTTAGGCTTTTATTTAAAATTGAAAATATTTCTTTTATTATTTTATGTGCTGCTGCCAAGTTAATAGTATTTCTGTTGACAAAAGTCTGGCTTGCCCTGCAGCTTAAACTTATCGTTTCTAATGTCTCTATGCAAATAAGCCAATAAGCCAACACAGTTGTTTACAGGAAAACTAAACTCTATAGTCGTTGGATGACATCCGCTAGTTAGAACTATGAAGAGAACTGCAATTCCAGCCGCAACGATCCATCCATGAATGAGTCAAGTGTGTGCAGCTCAAGTGGGGGGAAGAGAGGAGTACCTAAAACAGGATCCTCTGAACATAGACCTGGCGCTGGCCGGGTGAGTGAGCGCACCCGGTTTCAACGGCCTTAGCCGAGAGACTTATAAAAAACCACTTAAAGCGCCGCTTTAATCCTAAGTGTTCCCGATGCCCTCTTCGGTGTTGTCTTGTTTGTTTTTTTTTTTTTTTTGTTGGTTTTATTCCTTTACTCGGCTGCCGCTCAAGTGGTTTTCTCTGTTTGTTTTTATTCCTTCATTTGCAGTGACAAATTATTAACGTTCTACTCATCGTTCCCGACCTGCTGTTGATCGCTAGTCGAGTTCCCGATCTGTGCCTTATTTTTATTAAATTGATTTTTTATTGCTCTTTATTTGAATTCCCCGCCTTCTTCTTCACCTTCTTCATCGACGGCATTGAGTTTGGCTTAGCCCTTTATTTTGTTGGGCTCGCATTTTAATAAGCGCCAAAGCGCCTCTGTAGTCACTTCGAAGTGCCTGCGATCTTGAACTGATTCCATGCCGATCTCGATCCTGGCTGGGCCAAACGCATCCACCTCACACCCCTGCTCCCATACATAGGGCAGCAACATGTTGACAATTTTTCGTGTGGTCGCCGCTGCTTTGATCCGACACCGCTTCGTGCTCTGGCACCGGCCGGCGCTCTCTTTGATCGACTGATCTTCTAAAGGGAGCGACGTCATTATGCACGCGTGGTCAACTCTTTGATGGCTGGAATTGTTGTTCTCTTCCCCTTTCATCAGATGCGTTTGTGGAACGCTGCACATTTCTTTGGCGTTTCGGGAATTGTGTTAAAATGTGCGTCAATTGATCTTGTTTCTAATGGGGGAATGGGAGAATGGGTTACAATCAGCTTTCTTTGCCCATTGTAAAAAAATAGAAATAATTTAGTAATCAGTTATTAAAAATGTAACCTTAAAAATTTCGAGCTTTCAAACTTTCTTGAATATAATTCACACACAAGTTTTGAACTGCGCACATTGTTTTTAGCTATTGGAAATATATAACTAAAATTGATTTATTGAACAAATACACTTTGCCGTCGGCTAAAAAGAGTTTCCTGAAATTCCTCGATTTAACAAAAAATATTACTCAATTCTCACATTTATGTCATGCCTCACGTTCTTACGTAGATTTTCCCAAAAATTATTATACATTTACTAGGTAAAGTAAGGCGTCCGAATTGCCCACTACTCAATCCGGCAGCCATCTGGTTTGTCCTAACGTATGTGAAAGAAATCAGCTGCGTTCGAAAAGATGGGCAGAAATTAAAAAGTTCATACATCATCGCATTAAATTTCTGGGATAAGATAAAGACGTCAAATGGATTTTGTAAGCACAAACTCTGTAAGAGATACACATTTGAATACACAAATGCGAATAAACGAAATAAATAAATAAGAAAATATGCAATTGGCGCCTTAATTGAGATTGATGTGAAAAACAGATTTCGACGTTGCTTTTGGTTATTGAACCTTTTGTAAAAAACCGCAACAACAAAACACAGAAAGCGGAAAACATATTGAAAATCAGACTACGGCACTTGAAGGCTTTTCATTTGGTGCAAAAATGTTGAATGAACAATTTGTTTGTAGTGGACAAAACAGATTAATAAAAGCTATGCAAATGTGAAGAAACATAATGGAACTGAAGAGGTGAAGAGGAAATGCAAAACGATCGTTTTTAAACGCAAATAAAAATATAAAACCTCGTTTTGTTTTAATCTTTTAAGTTTGAAATGTAAAAACTATAAAAATATTACTCCCAACCTTTGCCCAAATTAATGGGTAATTAAAGAGTTTAAGAAAATGTACACAATGTGCAAATATCTGCAGCAGACGGATATAGATACATTCGAGGCTATAAAGCACATCGAAAGTATTTCATCTAGCTATATTCGTGTCTCCTTTTTTATGATTTCGAGATGCTTTCATGCTAACGAATTTTTGCGTTGTGTACGCATATGAAATTCACTTTAGCTACATAAATCTAAATATCTGAAAGTGTGCCGGCTAAAATGAAAACAAATACACTTCAGGCAAGAATCGCAGTTCGAATCTCAAGCTAACGTTATGGATATGCTGAAGGTCGGACTGTGGTATTTATCAGTTTATAAGCAAACGCAGACGACTTCTTTCTTACACTTTCCACTTATATAAAAACCCTTGCTGCGGTAAAATCCTATCCTCTTCAGACTCCAAGCCTCTGAACGGAAAGCATATATATAAATTCATGTCACCCTTAAATTTGATTATCTATCAATACAATTATGAATAATAATATTGATAGTGTTTATAATGCAACCCATATAATACTTATGGCCATCATTAAGGAAATTACTTCCAATGCCCACGTACGTATAGACTAACATATATGTACACGAAAGTGCAAAGCTGTGGAGATTCGGAGCGAAGCCTACGCACGGCATACAGGAGAAACTCATTTGTAAGTGCTGGAAATGCACAAAGATATAGAGACAAGTCACAGAAGATGCAGCGCGCCATTCATTTGAGATGGAATAAAAGGGCGCCGTTGAAAAAAACGAGTTCTGCTCACAAAGAGAGAGAGCGAGAGAGAGAGAAAGAGAGGCCGTGTGTGTGTGCGTGTGTGTGGTGAGGGGGCCCAGCAGATCCGAAGAACTGCAGCAAGAGCCAGCAGCCAAAATGGCTACTCGCAAGGGGGTGTCGCCCAATGGCAGCACCTGGCAGACCGAAGAGCAACGCGCTCAAAGAGCGAGGGAGTGGCACTGAGATAGAGAAAAAGCCCGTTACGAGGCAGCAGAGGGATAGAGAGAGAAAGAGAGAAAGACAGACAGGAGAGAGAAGCAGTTGTTATTTTTGTCTAATATGTTGCATTTTGTCATTTGTTTTGCAGTCGACCTCGGATCAGCAGTCAACGCGTGACTATCCGCAGTTGAGCGGCGACTATCACAACGTGCAGCTACAGGTCGCCGCCGTCGCTGCCAGTTCCAAGATGTATCACAGCAGCAGCGCCGCTGCAGCGGCCGCCTACACAGATTTGGCCGCTGCCGGGGGCGCTGCCAGCGTCTCCGGTTATCATCATCAGCAGGCGGTCAATGCGCCCGTCTATGTGCCCTCCAATCGCCAATATAACCACGTGGCGGCACATTTCGGCAGTGCCGCAGCGGCACAGAATGCCTGGACAACGGATAGCTTTGGATCGGCGCATGCGCAGCTGCCGGCGCAGTTCTATACACAGAACGCAGCTGTCATGATGGCGCCCTGGCGCAGCGCTTACGATCCAACTGGCTTTCAGCGCTCCTCCCCCTATGAGAGCGCCATGGACTTTCAGTTCGGAGAGGGGCGCGAATGCGTCAACTGTGGTGCCATCTCCACACCACTCTGGCGACGCGACGGCACCGGCCACTATCTCTGCAACGCTTGCGGACTGTATCACAAGATGAACGGCATGAACCGGCCGTTGATAAAGCCCAGCAAGCGACTGGTGAGTGCAGTGAGTAGCCACAACTCCGGTGATTATCCATATCTATACTAATCTACGGCTTGTTACCCACAGACCGCCACGCGTCGCCTAGGCTTGTGCTGTACGAACTGTGGCACTCGCACCACAACGCTCTGGAGGCGCAACAACGATGGGGAGCCAGTGTGCAATGCCTGTGGCCTCTACTTCAAGCTACACGGCGTCAATCGGCCACTGGCCATGCGCAAGGATGGCATCCAGACGCGCAAGCGAAAGCCCAAGAAAACAGGCAGTGGCTCCACAGCGGGAACTGGTTCGGGATCGGGCTCTACCACGGAGACCATCAAGGACTGCAAGGAAGAGCATGGTAAGCCAGCAGAATCGTGTAATTCGCTGTACATACCCGGTACAGATTAAAAATGTCCAAAACAAAATAGTTATATCATACTTGTGCAAATTTAAGTGTTACTCTATATACAAAAGATTTAGATATTCTAGATATGTGCAGTGGCTCCGGTTCATGTCCCGAACCTCGCCTTCGGTTTTGGCTCTTAAATACATCTTAAAATTTATTAATTTTTAAGACTTTTATACTAACACATTATTTAAAAAACAAAAGAAGTAGAGGGTTTGATTAAAAGCAGAAGAAAGTAGAAGAAATACATTAAAAGAGAATACTGATAAAGAGAGGGAGAGTTAAAGTGCAAGAGATGAAATTATAATGAGGTAAGGCTTAATAGATTGGCAACAGAACTTGATAACACATTATTATATAATATTATCTGAGAATTAAATCCTGTAAGTTAAATCCTAAAAGTAAGTGTTCTAGTAAGGAGTGAAAGATCGTTTCTTTGGCAGCTATATGATATAGTGGTCCGATTCAGCCGGTTTCGATATATTTACTGCGTATAACAGAAAGAGGGACTTTTTCAAAGTTCGCATAGATACAAACGGACACTCGGCTGTTGATACTAATATTTATTGGTTCGGAGATGTCTCCTTCTATTCGTTACACATTTCACGACAAAGTTATATAACCCTCTGTAAGGATATAAAAAGACACGCATTTTAATGGTGGTGGTAGCTATAAAATGTAAGATACTTGATCTGAATATGTTATTATTATAGAAGCCCTTAACAGAAACAGATTTGGCCAAAAAGCAGGATTTCGATATTGAAATATACATACACAGATACATACACACATTCATACATAAACACATCAATAATCCAACTTGGGGTAAGGCTCGGATTGTTTGTTTGGGAAAATTATTTGCTTCGATTGTTGGTTAAATGCAATGTAATTCGCGGCTAAAACCGGTTCGGTAAAACACAATCAGCTTGTAGCCTTATGCTTATAACTGGACAGCCATAAGCTATATTTTATCCCCTTTACTTATTGATTAAATTTTTGCATTTCTCATGATGCCTTTCTCTCTCTCTAACTTGCAGATCTCAAGCCCACGCTTAGCCTGGAACGACACAGTCTCAACAAGTTGCATACGGATCTGAAGAGCTCGCTGGCCGGCAGTGCGGTCAGCAGCCTAATGGGGCAGCACCACAGCCAGCAGCCGCAGCAGCAGTCGGCACCGTCACATCAGCAATGCTTTCCACACTACGCCCAGCAGCACCAGCAGCAACAACAGCAGCAACAGCAGCAGTCGCAGCACCAACACCTCAGCCACCAATCCCAGCTGAGTGCCAGGCAGTTGCATGGAGCCGGCTCGCAGCTGTACACGCCCAGCAGCAGCTCCGCTGCCTCCGCGTACACGACGCACAGCAGCAATGCCGCAGACACGCCCACACTAAGCAATGGCACGCCCTCGCCTCACTATCAACACCATCATTTACACGCCGCCGCCGCGGCGAGCAGCTCGCATGGACACCATGCAGCGGCGGCTCATCACCACATACACGCGGCCGCAGCAGCCGCGGCATATGGCGTCAAAACGGAGGCGAGTGCCACCAATTATGACTATGTGAACAACTGCTATTTCGGGGCCTCGTTTGGGGCCCTGGGTGGAGCCGCCTCCTCGGCAATGGCTGGTGGGGCGACCAGCGATCTGGCTGGGTACCATCATCAGCACAATGTCATCCAGGCCGCCAAGCTGATGGCGACGTCCTGAGCGGCGGCGGCGGCGGTGACGGCGGGCACTGTGATCTCTTCTCCACAACACACACAGCGTACTACAGACACCTTCGTTGGAGCCTCGTTGGAATGGTATTGAAAAGACTTTTGAACTAGTTTTACATAAGTTGCAATTAGTTTTTTATGGCTTGTAAATAACTGCACGAAAGTTTTGTACAAATATTTGTTTATCGCCTTGTTCCGTATCCCTTAACCACTTCGTAAGTCTCCAGTTAGGCTAAGGCTTATTTTTATACACCAATGTGTAAAGTGTTTGCATTAACCTCTTTCTCTAACTAGCATAAATCATCCATATCAAACACAATGCGCACCCAATCATAGATCATTTAGCCATATGTTAGGTAGAATTTCTTATAAGTCAATGCATATTACCATTTAAATAAATAATATTAATTTAAAAGATACATTTTACGATTTGTTTTGGTTGGGTCACAATAAGACACATATTTTAGTGGGCGCCGAAAGGTATGCTTTAAAGGAAATCACAACAAGATTGCGTGCTCCTTAAAGTATGCTATATACATTTTCTGTACTTAGAATGTTTCAATTACAATTTCGGTAAAATCGCGTTTTCCAGATATTTTAAGCACCTTCCACATTCAATACTTGACAGTTATACGTGGAATTTAATCAAAGGCCTTTAAAAAAAATCATTTAAATCTAAGCTCCGGAAGCTCCGGACTAGAGGATACTCTGAACCCTTTTATTGCAACATCTAATGCAGCTAAATTAAAAAAAAAGTTCCCTTAGCAGGGTTCGAGCTTATAACTGACCGCATCACACACTGCCAACTCTACTTAACAGTCCCACCAGTAAAAAAGAAAAAAAAACAACTTCCTCTGCAGGGTTTAAGCTCACAACAAACATCTATACACACCACCATCAAAGCACGTTTCCTTTAATAACGTTTGTGTTTCTTAGCCGATCTTGATGAAATGTTCTACTGTACTTCTTACTGTGCCATAGAATATTTGTATATTGATGGTAGTGGGGAGGTGGCGATAGCTATAAAATAAAAAACACTTGATACTATTCTGAAAGCAACATATCAATTTGATGACTCTAGCTCTTATTATTTACCGAATGAACTAAAAAAAAAAACAGGAATTCGATATAGATTTTTATTGATTGCTTGGAAACAGAGTAACATCGAATAACACTAACAAACTCGATCTGCGCGGGCACTAGGAGGACCCACAGCTAAAATGTCAGTCTCTAGCTATTATAGGTTCTGAGATTTTTGAGTTCATACATACGGACGGACGGACCAGCTCGGCTAATGATTCTGATCAAGAAAAAATATACTTTATGTAGATGCTTCCTTCTGGCTGTTACATACATTTGTACAAATACATTATACCCTTTTTACCCATTTTTAATGGTTTCAGGGTATAATTAATATGCCCCACATATACCAAAGTATGTTGATAAACTATTTGGTTTGTTAACTTTAAACTTTTATCTGATACCGAATGTTTGATGTCGTAAATATAAGATTCCCAGTACTGCAGCTGAGTCTGTCATTTATTTTGATGGGCGCCGATGAAGAGGAGAGATTTAAATTGTTTTTCAAAAATTTTAATTTATTTTTTCATGAAATTCTCGTAAATTACAGTTCAATTATTTAATGGACTTTTCACAATATATTTGCTGGTACTTTAATCGGTCAATGTCGACTTTTGGCACCCACGATAGGCGTTTGGTATTATAACGTACATTCATGTCATCTACTCTGCATATAAATATCCAATTAAATTGGCCGAGCCGAAGCTATTGAACCCAAAAAGCAATACTGAGGCATGCATGTGTTTTCGCTATTTACATATATAAAGCAGTCAGTTTGGGTTTTCTTAAATGTTTGTAATTTAGTTTGTAGACATAAAAAACATTAGTATGACATTGCAAAAAAAAGGTAAATCGAACAATTACATCACTTGAAAGCAAAATAAATTTGACATAAAAATAATATCTATGCAGCTGCGAAATGCAGTACAATAAAAATATTCGCCAAGACCCAATTGGAACGCAATAAAAAAAAAAAACATAAAAATAAACAACGGACGATCTTGTAAATATATTAAAATAAATGTTGCGCAATAAACGGGAAACCCTTTTTAGTTTTTTATTAATGCTAGCTGACGTGCCTGTAATGACAGTTTTGATTTTGCAGCCGGTAAGGAAGCGACCATAATTTTCAGCGATAACGCAATGGAGGCTGGACACAAAACTTACAAAAAATATATTACAAAAATTGTTACAGCAGTCGGCTAATTTGGTAATTTCCGCACGCGATGGTGCATTTAGAGAGTAAAGAAGAGATGTTGTCATAATGGTGAATGTTTGGGAAAAAAGCTACTTGTCTATTGTCGCAATCCCAACCTTGCCAGGGGGTCTGGGTCTGAACATGCAACAATGAACACACACACACTCAATCATACACCTGACCCATGCATATTAATGTTTTTAAACGCCAACATTTTATCTTAAGCATCGGCAAAGATAAAGCAAAATAATCGGGCACAATGTTAATTTAAGTGACTGCATAACAAAAGACTTGCAACCGGCCGAGGAGGCAACCGTAGAGCCAATGAAGCACGAAGCAAACCAACCCAAAGCCAAATCCCAACCGAACCCAAGCCAAACCAAAGCAACACCCATGACAGTGAAGCGGCAAGCACAGTGTGACGTCGAATGAGTCTCCCCTTACGGTGGCGCTGTCTGCGTAATACCAGAAGTAGTCAACAGGTGAACAACTTCAGTGGAGCTGGCGCGAGGGCAGTTGCGGGGCACGGCCACAGCAGCGGGCGAGCGGGAGGTCTTGTATGGCGCAATAAACAAAAAAAAAAACAAGTTGGTGGCGTATACGCAATGAACGAAAGTACAATTCAAAACAAAATAAAAATCCAAATATTAAAACAACAATTGGTTGATTAAAAGCGAATATGATGGTCGCCTTAGTCGAGTGCGCTACATTTAAATTGAAATACTATCATTAAATCAAAACATGAGTAATTAAACTAACTCTAATTTTTAAGCCTCATGCAGAGCAACAAAATGTGAGATCTTCTAAGAAACTTGAAAGAAATAATATCAATCAATATATTAATTTGCTTATTATTATTATTGTTATTATTATGCTATGCACACTTTCATTTTCATATTGTAATATAAAACTTCTCTTCTAGCTTACCATAAACAAGTCTCCGCTATAAATATATTAAAAAATAAATAATAAACAAATATATTTAATTTGTTGTTGGTTATTTTGGATCAACAGCTTTTGCTTTATATGGCTACCCAAGCAACTGTAGGGTATCACAGCAATTAAACGACATTTCTCCCAACCGTCCACGTTTCCAGCGGTCAGTTGGAAGCGGGTGTAAACGGGTCGAGTTCGAGTTTGGATTCCGTTTTGGGCTGCTGCAGCGACGGGTTGCGGAATCTCTAGTACAAGTGCAAATGTAAACAAAAAGTGTACAAAAAGTGGTCGCTGCTGGCCACACAACAACCACACTGCACACAAAACTAATGTTATGGTTTCGTACAACATTTCACATGGCAGCCGCAGCAATTCGGTTTGAAACGTTGCCGACAACGGACGCCAACAACGGACAAGTTTTCAAAAATAGATTTTGAAACGCTGATTTAAGAAATAAAGGAAGCTATTTCAGCCAGGATAATTTTGTGGTTAAGCATGTTTCATACAGCAAACTGGAACTTATGTGTTATCGGTATCATTTATCTAATACCAAGTGCAACTGCCTATACCCGGGAAATTGTAAACGATAAGCCACCACTGCAGGAGAGACGTGAGTATTGGATAATAGAAAATAAATAAATAAATATAGGGAATTAAATCGATACCAGGTTAAACTAAAACATAACAAAGTTTAAATTGAGTTGAAAGAAAAAGAGTTAAATTGGCGGAAGTTACCGTCCTGATATTTTGTGCTCTGTGTGCTCTCTGAACCAACTAATAAAGAGACTTGTTGTGTGCGAGGCCGGAAGTGCGAATGACTAAAATATTTTTAACTGCAACTGTTAGTGTTGTCGAGTTTGAAGAAGGTGAACAAACTGAAAACTGGATCTAATACGAGTACCTACAAAAATCCAACCAAAATTTCAAAATATACAAAAACTTATAAGGCAAATCTAAACAAACCGTATAAAGTTTTAATCTGTGCTTATAGAAAAAAAGATATTGGTTTTGTTATTATATTCCTTATTTTCCTACAAATATTTATTCAACACACTTGGAATTTAGTAAAGTAAGCATAATTATACCCTGAACCCATTAAAAATTGGTATAAGGGTATATTGTATTTATGCAAAATCCAAATGTATGTAACAGGCAGAAGGAAGCATCTCCGACCCCATAAAGTACATATATTCTTGATCAGCACCAATAGCCGAGTCGATCTAGACATGTCAGTCTGTCTGTCCGTCCGTATGTATGAACGCAAGGATCTCAGAACCTATAAGAGCTGGAGACTTGAAATTTTAGATGTTGGTGCTCCTAGTGCCTGCGCAGATCATGTTTCCGATAATCGATAACTTACTCCGTTTCAAATCAATCGATAAAAATTGATATCGATATCCTGTTTTTTGGGCGATTTTGGTAAATAATAAGAGCTAGTCACCAAACTTGACATATAGCTTCTAAAATGGAATATATATATGCATTTGATGTTGGAAGAAGAGGGTTCAGGGTACCCCCTAGTCGGGAGCTCCCGACTAGAACCTCTTACTTGTTTTTATGATTATGTTTATATGAAGGTTTTGCTTTTAATTTGCAATCTTTGCTAACTCTTTAGACGTGTTCGCTAAATGTGTAAACAGCCCGAACTCTTATTTTCAAACATATGCCAACGCGAAAGTTAGTAAATTTAGCACAAATTTGAATGCATGGGTTTTTTGTTAGTTTATATATCTAGGAAATCACAAATCGTGAATACCCTTTAAATTGAATATTTAAAGTAAATTTACTTAATTCAAATGTAAAAATATTTTCGTATTATTTTGCGCAGCACCGTGGTTACAAACCTGTAAGCGCTCCAATCCCAATGAGAACAAATGCTTCCGCCAATTGTTTGAGGGCTGCTTTCCTGCACTGGCCGCTGGCATACCAGAGATTGGTGTGAAGAGCTTCGAGCCGCTGAACATTGATCAGGTATCTGTTTCGAAGGGCAGCGGAAATTTGGTTCTTTCCGGCGGCTTTCAAAATCTTGTCATACGTGGACCCTCAAATGCGACAGTCCGGCGTGCAAGGTGAGTAGATGCAAGGTCGTATCAAATTGGCAATCAAATGATGCCAATAATTATATTTTTGATAGTTTGGATCTGGCGCGACGTCAGCTAAATTTTGAGCTGGAGCTACCACGCCTGCGCATAAGAGCAAAATACAATCTAAAGGGTAACATACTGCTCTTGCCTCTGGTTGGCAGTGGAGATGTAGCCATGGCGCTGAAAAATGTGCATACAGCCGTCTACACAAAGATCTCGCTCCACAATGAGACCCTAACTGGGGATGAGATAATACATATCGATGAGATGAAAGTTAACTTTCAGGTGGGCGCCATGCGCATTCATTTAAAGAATCTATTCAACGGCAACGAGATCTTGGCCGCGTCCATTAATGCGTTCCTCAATCAGAACGGTAACGAAGTCATAGCAGAGCTGCGACCTGATTTAGAGCTGGGGCTAGCCGATATTTTTCATGGCCTGTGGAACAATGTGTTCTCCAAGATGCCCACCAAGCTGTGGCTGCTCTGAGAACATGAGCCACAAGTGAGTTTAGGGGATTTTGTTATAAATATAATTTATTTTGCAATCATTTTTGTTGCTACTTGTAGTTTAATGTTTTTACTACCTACCTACGATTAAATCTATAGTTTATTTAAACTTTGTGTTTACTGCTCACTGTTTCATTGTGGGCAACAGTTCGTCGTAGCTGAACGCTTCGAACAATTTGTCGATGGAGGCGCGTAGGATATCCACCAGGGCCTTGATCATCAACGGACGGACCTCATCGGAAAGCGATTTCCAGTTCTCATTGAGGAAATCATTCATACGCTGGCCCAGCGCCTTGTCGCCATTGAAGAGATTATCCAGCTGCATGTGCACATTCGCCAGATCATACTTGACCTTTATGTCTTTGATCCTCAAATAGCTGGCACCATTTTTCATATACTCCTCGCCAAACAGCTCCGTTGCCATTGTAATATTCGCTGGTAAAGGACATCGGTATTAAAAGCAACTCAGTTAACAATTGTTCGCTCCAACTTACTTAGTTCAACTTGACAGTTTCCATCGCCGAGCATCGGCATCATCATGATCTTGCCCTTTATGCTGTATTCCGATTCCAATTTTAGCTTGGGAAAGGTCAACGACAGCGTAAACTTCAATTGACTTGGATCGATGGACAAATTGTTTAGCGTATGCTTCGATATGCCCGATATCTTTACATTTTTATACATCGAATGAAGATAAATGGCGCCGGAGTCCTGGTCCATTTTGATTTCGGGCACACGCAATGGCTCCATGGGCGGTATGTAAAGTTCCGGTATGCCGTCCATCAGGCGCGGCTCGAGCGATTCAAAGGATTCACGAGCACACACATTTAAATCCGGAGAGTCACGATGACAAACCTTGAGAAAGGCAGCTGCAAATGGCTAGAATCACTGGAAAAAGACCACACAAATCGCTTATACTTACGCAATTTGCTCGACTTTCCTTTGGGCTTGGCCAATGTTTGGGTTGCCTGAAGCGTAAGCCCCACCAGCACGAGGGTAATTAATAGGTTTCTCTCCATTTGTTGGCTGCCTTGGCTGTGGATCAATTTTGCTTTACTTCTCACTGGAGTCGAGTGTATACTGTTTATTGCAACGGCTGTTCCATTGCTTTTATAGCTGAGCGAAGCCAACGGCTGGCCAGAAGCTGACGCATTGAGTTTTGCCAGACTTGCAATTTTCCGTGACATTGCAATCCTCAGCAAATTTGCGAAGCCGCACCAACACAGATGTTTTCCAGACGAGTTGCTCTTCTCTACTCACATATATACATCTCAATATGTACATCTGAATAACGCTTAGCTACTCATATAACTCCATTGATATGCACACATATTAGAGAATTTATGTATATAGCCAATCCGACTCGAAAAGATTATAAGTCAAGTAGAAGATAAACAATGTTTAAAATTTTTATTCAAAAAGAGAAACTTGTTCTCCAATTTCTGTCCTAGTATATTAATATAACGATTTTTTTAATAATTCGCCGCAAAATTACAACTAGTTCAATTCTGGGAAACTTCTGATATATACAAATCAAAACAGACTTGCTGTTTACCACTAAATAGAAATAATTGTTTGCCAAGTGAATAAATATAATTAGTTCGAGAATATCATGTTTCACAGCCAACCGGATATTATAAAAATAAAACCAAAACATTAAATGATATGAAAGTATATATATTTTATAATAATATTGAAGTTAAACGTTATAATGAAACAAATAGCGCACATACATAAATTCATATACATAATAAACAAACTTAAAACGTGGAGCATGCGTAATTAAATTAAAATAAAGCTTGTTCAACAAGAGCCAGACTCAAATTATAACAAATTAAAAAAAACTGAATCAACTGCGAATTACAGTTATAAAATGTAACAAATTAAAGCATTGTAGCTAAGTATAAAAAGTATTGCTGACTTAAGTTAATATCAAACAGTAATATTGAAGGCACTTTATGCTTAAGGAAGCTAATCCCGATCGATGTCCATCTCACTCTCAAACCTGAAATAATATGTTGGGTATCTTATTAATTGTACTCACTACACCAAGATCGCCTTACATACAGTTGGGTGATGCTCAACGCCTTGGCAATCACATTCTCGGCGGACAGACTATCGAAAGCATCCAAACTAGCAGCCGGTTCGTGGTTGCCGTTATCGACAATAAAGCTCAGCCGGCTCATCGCGTTATTTAGCTGATGCATGGGCTGCTCTTGTTTTGGGTGGGCACTTGGCAGCATTTCCAATTGCTGTGCCAGCAGTTGACGTTGAACCGCCATGAGATTCTCATGGGCATTATTTAGAGTATCTTTTAATTTCGAATAGCGCAGATGCAGATAGTTTGTGCTATCGCGAAAATGTTTTAATTTTTTGTCTTCGATAAAAGCGTGACGTGCTTGGGCAAATTTAATGGCTATATTAGCCAGCTCTTTGGACGTTATGGCGTCAACACGGTTAAGATAATTCCTCTGAAAATCTTTGCTGCAATAAAAGAAAATTGTTAACAAGGATTGCTAAATTGGAGAAATTAAATAACTATTTACGAACATTTTATATATATCATTGCCAAGTATAGTCTCGTTGATCTCTTGGCTCTCCGTTATGCAGACGCTGCGAACTCCGCGCAACGTAGATTCATAATGATTTATGACTTTTTCAACAAAAGTAATGACTTCTTTATATTTGCTTACTTTCATCAAATTGGATTGCCACTCTCCACTGTTGGGCTAAGAAAAAATTCAGTGGATATTCATTATTTATTATAAAATTGAAATTATTTTTCAGTATTTACCAAATAGAGTTTTTGCTGTTTTTGTGCATCTGTTAGCAGTAGCTGAAACTGCTGTATGGCACCGCAGCACATGACCTTTTCTTGTTCTATAGCTTTAGCGAATGGCTGAAGTTCGAGAATTTCGTCCTCCAGAGTCAATGCATACTCCTTGAATCCACATAGTAGCATTCTTACGAGATCATGTTCCTTGTTGAGCACATGATGCATTTCCAAGACCAGGTGGTCATTTAACCACTTTTCTAATTTCATATCGCTTGAAGAAGTTATGAAATGTTGAAGGTCATTCGGCATTTTTGGTTCCATAAATTGACACTTCTCCGTGGTGTTAAAAATGTAGACCATGACTGGTGGATTCCGTGACTCTTCGCTTGTATCGCACCATTTTTCCACATAGAGATCCATGGGTATGGTACTCTTGGTCAAGCGTTTGTGTGGATGACCCGTGGGTAACACATAGTAATTGGTCTGCCTTTTATATCCGGTTTCTCTTTCAATAAAACTTTCCAATTGCTCCATTGTCGTGCTGGGCGTTACTTCGTATTCTAAGCGTTTGAAGCTGCACGCTAAAAAAAGCGTCAGTACTGTTACCTTAAGCATACGATCGATCTCTGTGAATATGGCGGGTCCTGGTAATCCATTTTGTACTTCATCAGTTGCCGCTAAAGCACCACGTCGTGAATAGTTGTAGTCGAGGGCCAGCGGAAGCCACCTTGTCAGTCGTGCCAACCAAGGTAAGCTTAGGTGATGACCCACGGGTATCTGGGTATGAAAGAGAAAGCTATTCGGTTCCAAATGATTCTCTGTTATTGCAATACACTCGCGCTTTTTCTTCTCAAGATTCACATGGATATTGAACGCTTTTTGGTGGGGTATAAATGGCAACACTCCAGTCGCCACCTCGTAGGCAATGATCCCCATCGACCAGTAATCGGCCGTGTTCTTATACTTGCCGGTGTCTACCACCTCGGGTGCATAGTAATGTCTTGTGCCCACTACGCTTTGCTGAATGGTATTCTCCGGCGAAGCACGCGCCAAACCAAAATCTGTCAGCTTGTAGAGCTTACGGCCATTGGGTAGTCGATGTATCACAATATTGTCCGGCTTCAGATCGCGATGACAGATTTTACAGGTCGTGTGCAAAAAATCAACAGCTTGTCGCAGGGCACCTAAAATCTCGCGAACTTCAAACTCCAGAAGACCTGTAAAATGTCAAACGTTTGTAACATGCAGTCGTCGGAACAGCCATGTATAATATTGGCTTCTCTAGCCAAAGAAGCAGTTTCCTATGGTGGGACTCACCGTTAGCATTTTGCGGTCTCTGAAGAAGTCTGCGAACATCGCCTCCATTGCAATACTCAAGAATAATAACTGGCAGGTCCCAAATGTGGTGACTTTTCAAATACTTGACGAACCCCCCCGAATCCTCGTCCAATCTAACGCCGGCGACAATGAAGGGCATCTGAAACTGAAGTGTCCATTTAAGCTCCTGCTGCCATCGGTTTATCAGAGTACGCTGCTGATCAGCGCTTGTTTCATCCTTTATGTGCTTCTTGATGTGCTTGGTGGCTGTTAAGATTAACAAACTATTAAAAAGCGTCAAGCATATCCGCCGCTGCTTAAAATAAAACGTAGTTTCGAAGCTGACTCAGCGCATCGGCAGCAACTTAAGATTCGTAAGGTCTATTCTCCCGGTTTCCTTCACAGACTTATCAGCTCAAACACTAACATTAAAAAAAAAAGAGGCGAAGACAGAGGAAGCGAGAAAGAAAGAGAGAGAGAGAGAGAGACAAAGAGGCAAACACAAACACAGCAACAAATAAACAAACTAATTTTTGAATCAGCGAATTCTAGGAATCGGCTTGCACTTCATGTGTGCATTAGTATTGGGCGCGTGTATGCATTGATGTATGTATGTGCATATATATACTATATGCAAAGGTATATAATTTTTGTACGAAATCACGTACACATATTCCGCTTACCTATTTCCTGGTTTGTTGTGCGATTTATCCAATGCCTAACTTCACCAAAGCCACCTTGTCCCAGAATGCCCTTCAGCTCCCAGTTACCCACGCGCAACGCGTTTTGATGCATGCCGATATTATTATAATATACAATTTTCCGGCAACTTATTAATAGCGACAGCCCATTTGCAACAGGTCTAATTCGATGTTGTATTGAACTACAATTATCAAGAGTTAATTTATCGGTTATCGATTGTATCTAGAGATGGGCGAAGTTGCGAATTGAAGTGTGACACGCGGTTACAGTAATACTTAAACGCTATAACACCCAGGACTCGAAATTTCAAATCGTACCTTATATACATCTAATTAATAATTATTATTAGAAACAAAACATACTAAAAAAATGATATTTAATGACTTACATATAACATGTAATGAATATATTGTAGGTTTTCAGATACTTTACTCTGCTCTGTCAGTTTTAAAATGTATTTTATAGGCATAACTTCAAATAATTTGCCAAATTGAGGACAATGTTCTTTATATTCTTTATACAAATTATTCTTCTCACATCTTATGACTGTGTAAGTGTTACTTGGGAACAGCGGTCGACGCGGGACGCCAATGTGGCTCACACGATTTGTGCTCATCTCTAAAGTGCTGGCAAACAGGTTGTAAACAAAAAGTGTTGAATGTTGTTAGGGCCATTTGTAAATAAAAAAACATTTTTAAAGCGTCCGCTTGTGTAAAAATGCGTTTTCACATGAACGGCAGCAGCGACGACAGTGATATTGTGGCTTCCACAGCTACCGCCGAGCACATTCGCAAATTTGTATTCAGCTGCAGCGTTGGAGGCGGCGGTGATACAACCGTAGATCGTCTAGAAATTAGAATACCAGAGGTAAATAAAAAAGATTAACATTGCAAGCAAATGTTTTTTAATAACTGTATAAATATAGATTCTACAGGGAGCCTACTCATTTTATACCTGGCCCAGCGCCCCAGTTCTCGCCTACTTCCTTTGGGAGCGTCGGCAAACACTTGCGTGCAAGCGCATATTAGAACTTGGTGCTGGAACTGCATTGCCCGGCATACTGGCTGCCAAATGCGGTGCTCAGGTGGTGCTCAGCGACAATTGTATTCTACCCAAATCCCTAGCGCACATACGCAAATCCTGCCTAGCCAATCAATTGCAACCAGGCGTTGACATTGACGTCGTTGGTCTAAGCTGGGGGCTGTTGCTAAATAGCGTTTTTCGGCTGCCCGCATTGGACCTTATAATAGCGGCAGATTGCTTCTACGATCCCAGCGTATTTGAGGATATCATTGTGACTGTGGCGTTCCTGTTGGAGCGCAATCGTGGAGCGAAATTTATATTCACATACCAGGAGCGCAGCGCGGATTGGTCAATAGAAGCGTTACTTAAGAAATGGAAACTACATGCATCGAGCATAAATATGGATGATATTGGCAAGCAGTCCGGCGTGGATTTGCTTGAATACATGGGTGGACACACGATACACCTGCTAGAGATAACGCTCATCGAGCCACAACACGTGGGTGACTTAGTGGAGTAAAAAATAAACAAAAAATTAACCAGAATAAAGTTGGTTTTTAATGCGCGGGCTGTTATCCCCTGTTACTCATTGCATCGATTTAACATAGTTGCTCCTCGATTAGCAGAGCGTTGCTTATAGAATATGCTGCATTGACATTCACACAAAAGCGTCAACAAGTATTTCACAGACAGCGAGCGTCGCTGTCGTCGTTTAAAAGTTGTGCATAGTTTTATTATTTATTTACAACACGCAAAATTCACTTTTTTGTTTTGTAAGATAGTTGTGTAAGCCAATAACAAATTGGTTCACTTTATATTATTTGTTGTTACCGGAACAGCCTAATATTTCGATTTTGCTAAGTGCTACAAAGCCGTGTCAGTGGAAGTGTATGTGTGCGTGTATTGGTTTTGTGCTTGCCTTATACGAGCTACGAGCCTGTGAAAAATCGAAGTTATTGCATTACGTTGTTCCAGCTGCCCAGCTGCCTGGGAATTTGGTTTACATGTTAATGGTGGGTGCTGCAACAGAATTTACTAAGGCGCATAACAACACATTTTGTTGTTAGTGCCGCGGCTGCTGTGGGCGTTGATTGTGGTTTTGCCTTATGCGTTGAAATTTAGCGATATAATTGTAGCTACTTTAAATTAATAAAAACAAATTTAATTAGCAGCGAAAAGAAACGGTAATCGACGGCATTTTGTTGACGCATGACGCTTTTTGAGAAACATTTGCTGTTATAATGATCCGTTAATTCGAAAAAGCGAGGGAGTGCACAAGCGTCACTCACACGTTCTCTCGCTAAGAGCGAAGAGCGAATCGAACTAGAAAGAGAAAGATCTAAAAAAGGTTAAATGATATTAACGACCGGTAAATACTCTACTCTACTCTACTATAATTGGCAAGCTCTGCGTGTTTCTGTGGACTTGCTGATTTATTAAGGGTTGGAGTGCCTATTTACGTGTCTGATTTACGGACTGCCGCTGATTAGTGCGCGGACTATGAGCTCATAATGGGTGCGCTCCCAGTGTCCAATCCTTGCGATTGTTAAAAATAAATGTTTATGCCATAAGAATAGCATTTAGCAGCAGAAAGATGGCAAATTCTAAATATGGCATTGCGACCCATTTAAATTTGTCGCCTCTCCAAGTAGCGTTCCTCAAGCGTGTCGGCTACATTCCTTTACCGAACATTTCATCCATAATTAAGCCTAATTTTGAAACATTAACTTTGATTACCATTGGCTGAGAGCAAAGTTCTGCTCGATTGAGTTAGTTTTGCGTTTGATTTTCAATTTCAACTATCAAAAAGTTCCCAAACAGTTTTGAAACCAATCGAATATTTCGCTTTTAGCTAGTCGCGTATTCGTTGAGCTAAACCACAGACCAAGTCGCTGATACCAACCAGAGAGGACAAACAGCTCGCTAGGACAGGCATGGCCGAGGATACCGAGTACAAAAAGTTACCCGTTGAGGAGCGCTGCGTACACAAGCTGTGGAAAGCGCGTGTCGATGGCTATGAGGAGGCAGCCAAGCTTTTTCGCGAGCTAGACGACGAGAAATCACCGGAATGGTCGAAATATGCGGGGCTCATCAAGAAAATGGTTGTTGATTCGAATGCCCTTGCCCAAGAGAAGGGCTTGGAGGCGGCGCTGATATTCGTTGAAAACAGCAGCTTAGCTGGACGCACTGTTGGGGATGTTATGTCGGGCATTGTCCAGAAATGCATTGCAGCGCCCAAGACCAAGACAAAAGAGCTCTCCGTGCAGGTCACGCTCATGTATGTTGAGATAGAGAAGCACGAGGCTGTCTTGGAAGAGCTCGTAAAGGGCATGGACCATAAAAATCCAAAAATTGTATCAGCCTGCGTAGCAACCACAACACAAGCAATGCGCGAATTTGGCTCCAAGGTAATCCCCGTCAAGCCGTTCATCAAAAAGCTGGCACCACTCTTGGCCGATCGCGACAAGGCAGTGCGCGATGAAACCAAACAGTTGGCGGTTGAAAGCTATCGCTGGATTGGGTCAGTCATGAGGACGCACATTGCCTCGTTGCCGCAGGTAACCGTTAAGGAGCTGGAGGACGAGTTTGATAAACTAAAAGGCGAACGTGCTGAACCATCCAGGTGAGTTTCACCCGCTCGACTTACCAGCTCCCCACAACTAAATTTACTTTACCTTCAGATATCTTAAATCACAGCAGGAGAAACAGGCAAAGATTGCGGACGAGGCCGCCACGGAGGATTCGTACAATGGTAAAGACGATGCTTAGGTTAATTATTTTTATCTACTATATATACCTGTAAGCAGAGAATACACCACCATCAAACCGAAAATTCAAGAAATATCGTAAGCAAGCATTAAGTCAAAAACGCCTTTATGGCTCGCCGAAGTATACATACCCGCGCCTAGGTATATTCTCGTTTTCTTGATTAACCCTTTACATTTTACACACTTTTCTTAGCATTCGACATTAGGAGCAAATTTTATTGTCTCAGATCTTTAATGTATATATTATATTTTCTTTTATTTCTAGTTGCCTTTTAGTAACATAACTAAAAATATATCAGAACATATACATTTATGCTAATTATTCTGACCGAAGGGACTTTTAATTAAAAAATTGCCCATCCAGCCCAAAATAATAAAAATTTTATTACATTTTGAAAAAGAAATACAAATATAAGACCTGTTTATCTTAATCAAAATATAAAAGTACCCCAGTAAATACATATAATAAAAGAAATGTCATCAATTATGTATTCATTTTTTGATATAATGTACGAGCAGTATGACCCGCCTTCTCAATTTCTTTAATACTTTGAATATATATAATAAATATAGAAGATGTAGTTTTAAGGCAGTTGGGTATATACATCTGGAAAACGCATTCAATATATAGACAAATTACATTTTTTATACACAATCTTCTTCCACTTTTGAAAAATGTGTTACATCTTCAATGCCTGTTCTGGTATATTTTTTAAAATTTGTGTGTTGCACTTTTTTTATGTAGATGACGATGCCGAAGCTGGCGTGGAGGATTTGGATCCCATGGATCTTATTGATCCCGTTGATATACTTTCCAAGATGCCTAAAGATTTTTACGAGAAACTCGACGAGAAGAAATGGACTTTGCGCAAAGAATCCTTGGAAGCATTGGAGAAGCTGCTCACGGACAATCCTAAGGTGGAGGGCGGTGAATATGGCGCTCTGGTCAGCGCATTGAAAAAGGTTATTACTAAGGACTCAAACGTAGTACTTGTGGCTATGGCAGGCAAATGTCTGGCCATGCTGGCCAAAGGTCTCTCCAAGCGTTTTTCGTCCTATGCCACGGTAAATTAAACCTCACAATATATAGTATATATTAAGTAATCCATATGCATAAATATTTTAAGGCTTGCGTTCCGGCCCTTTTGGAGAAATTTAAGGAGAAGAAGCCAAATGTGGTGAGCGCGCTGCGTGAGGCCATGGATTCGATTTATGCGTCCACAACTCTGGAGGCACAACAGGAACATATCGTGGAAGCGCTGACCAACAAAAATCCGAGCGTCAAGTCCGAGACGGCGCTCTTTCTGTCGCGTGCTCTATGTCGCACACAGCCAACGGCATTGAACAAGAAACTTGTCAAGCTTCTGACCACTTCTCTGATCAAGACGTTAAATGAATCTGATCCCACAGTGCGCGACAGCAGCGCCGAAGCACTGGGTACGCTTATGAAGTTAATGAGCGAGAAGGCGCTTGCCGCGCTGCTGGTCGATGTGGATCCGCTGAAGATGAGCAAGATCAAGGAGTTTCACGACAAGGCCGAAATCAAAATCAAAGTAACGGCTCCGAAAAAGGAGCTACGTCCGGCCACCGCGCCAGCCGCTAAAGCATCATCTACAGCCAAACCCAGCGGGGGCAGCACAGAGCCAAAGCCAGTGACGCGTCCAGCGTCAACAGGTGCCCGAAAGACAGTTAAGAAACCAGGAGTTGTAGCTGGTGCAGCGCCGGCTGCATTGTCCAAGGCAGCCGGTGGTAAAACCATGGCTTCAGAGCGCGAATTAACCCCAGAAGAGGTTCAGGATAAGGCGGATGAGCTGCTGCCCGCCGAAATACTGAACGGTTTGGTTGATAGCAACTGGAAAAATCGATTGGCGGCTATGGAACAGTTGCTAGCTCACATTCCAAGCTATGATGTTAAACAGCCAGGCATATCTCAAACTCTAGTGCGTACTATTAACGGACGAAAGCCTGGCCTTAAGGAGATGAATTTTCAAGTTCTCAAGCTCAAACTGGACGCAATACGATGTATCGCTGAAAATTTTCCTGTCACACCTATCACGGTGGACCATGTTGTCAATGAGATAACGGAGAAACTGGCTGACGCCAAGAATGGAGGTGCTGCCGCCGATGTGCTCACCGCTTTGGCTGATGCTACTAAATTGGAGTATGTGGTTGGCAAAGTGCTGAGCTTTGCCCTTGAGCAAAAGTCACCCAAGGTGCAGTCAGAATCATTCAACTGGATTAGTAGGGCTATCATTGAATTTGGATTTAAAGTCCAGCCCAAAACGCTCATAGAGGATGTTCGCAAAGGTGTCCAGAGTACAAATCCGACAGTACGCGGCGCTGCCATCCAGCTGGTGGGTACCATGACCATGTATATGGGCAACGCATTGATGGTATTCTTTGATGGCGAGAAACCAGCACTCAAGTCTCAAATTCAAACTGAGTTCAATAAGAATCTGGGCGAAAAACCGCCCAAGCCTATACGTGGTGTGCAGCACAGTAGCACAAATGCCGACGAAGATGAGGATGAGGATGGCGCAGACCGGGCATCACCTGAACCTATTAACTTAGCCGATTTGCTGCCACGTGTTGACATCTCAAGTCAAATCACCGAGTCGCTACTGAAGGAAATGTCCGACAAAGATTGGAAAACAAGAAATGAGGGACTTACCAAGCTACAGGCCATCATTAGTGAGGCCAAGCTGATCAAGTCGAGCATTGGTGATCTAGCACCAGCACTCGCTCATCGTCTTCTCGACTCCAATGCAAAAATAGCGC